GCTGAGGCAGGAGGATCACCTGAGCCCAGAAATTGGAGGTTGCTGTGCCATGATCACCCCATTGTACCTATCTGCTGCCACAAAAAAAGAAAAGAAAAGAAAAGAAAAAATCCAGCAAAATCACAGACCAGTAGACATTTTCTCTTTCATTTGCAAAACTGAAATGAGGGAGAGGGAGGTGAATATTTCTGGGAAAGTACCTACTAGAGCAGTGAGTACTTCCTTTCAATTTTAAGGTTCTATGTAGGAGCTTCCCAATTTCTCCTGAGCCCATGGAGTGTCAGGAAACCCCAAGCAAACCCCACATTGCCCACCAGAATCTGGGACAGCGACCTCCCACCCTCACCCTGCCAATGTTAATCAACTTCTCAAGACACCAGGAGGCAAGGGAGTGGACAGCTGCCAGGGTTTGCCAGGTAACACACAAACCTTTGCCGTTTTCAAAATGCCATCATTGGATATTGGGTCCGTGGTGACAGCAAACTGCCCCTCCTTATCATTCAATATGGTGTACACAGCCTGCCAAGCTGGAGTATTGGGAACATCAGCGTCAGTCACTTTGAGTGTAGCGATGAGGACATTGGCCTCGTTCTCAGGCACCTGACCCTGGTACTGCAGAGCAAAGGAAACCACTGGTTATTTACGATACTTTGAGATTGAGCATGGAACCGCGTCTCAGGGAGCTAATGGAGTCCTTTCTAAGCCCAGGCTTCAAAGACAAAAGATAATGAAGAGAGGTCAGGTGATGGGCACAGGTCTCGGAGGCAATGCCCACTCTATGAGCAGCCCTCACTCCACCTTGATGGAGCAGATAGGACCTTCCTCAGTGAGTACCTCGAGCAGCTTTCAAGGCCCTGGCTACATGCTGGCTTGGGTGCTGATGGTGATCTTAGTCAAGTGCAGGACACTGTGGTTTAACTGCCATTCTCCACTGCCCCTATCCATCCTATACCAATAATCTTTTAAAAATGGATATCTGGTCATTATGATCCTCTGCTTAAAACCCTTTGATGACATCCTCTTGTGTTCAGGATAAATACTAAAATTCTTGCCTCAGCCTATAATGTCCTGTAGGACCTGCCTCAGTTGGTTACTTGGGTCGCACTGGCTATTCTCTCGGAAATTCCTGTGCATCAGGCTTTCTCTTGACTCAGGGCATTTTGCACATGCTGATCCCTCAGCCTAAAAGACTTTTCCACCTCCCCTGGTCCTATCTTTGCCTAACCTTCATTCAAGGCTCACTAGAAATGTCACAAACCGTCTCTATAAAGCTTTCTTGTACTCATGGTGATTAGATTAGTGCAGCAGGCACAGCTAACTGCCTAATAAATATCCATTTCCCCCTTCTTTGCATACCGTACAGCTGGTAGCAACAATGTGCCCCCCCTAAAATACTACACTTCTCAGTCTCCCTTGAAGATGGCAGTCACCAGTGAGATGTAAGCCAAACTTGCAGAATGGGTTGTCACAAAAACGTCTTTAATCAGAGAACCTGACTCGGCAGCAATGCATTTTGTGCAGCTTGTCTCCCTCCTGCACGACCACAGCCAAAACTGGCTGAGAATTCTGAAGCCCTGTTGGGTCTCCAGGTGACACTGAGGATAGAAGCCTTGCACTAAGGATGCTGGAATAGCAAGGGAAAGGAGGTGGCTTGGCCTTTACTGACAGGGTAACCATCTAGCTCTGGACTTTGTGTGACATAAGTATTCAGTAATTCTTGTAAGATGCCTAACATCTCCCAAGATAGATTATAAGCTCCATGGCAATGGAATCTTGGTCTGCTTTGTGATTATATCTTTAGTGTCTAACACACTGCCTAGTACAAACTTAGAAAACATTTGTTCAATGAATAAATAAAACCCAATAAGATTTGCTACAAAGAAGTCCAAAATGAAGATATGGATTCAGTAGAAGCTAGTGGCAACGTCACAATTCCAAGCCAATTGGCTGCAGGCCAAGGATGGAACAAAGGTACCCAAAGATAATTGCCACCCTACTATGCTTACTTCTAAGTTTAAAGTTAGCATTCACTAGTCTGGGGAGAGTTTCCAAAGAGTTCACCCATGAGCAGTTGTGAAAGTTCATTCCTGAACCCTAAAAGACCTTTCATTGGAAATCATTTAAGGAGGTGCAGAATTACCACGGTGGGATTGAAGACAGGAGGGTTATCGTTGATGTCAGTGACCGTGATCACGGCTGTTGCTGTTGTGCTTAAGCCTTCACCTTGAAGGTCAGCAGCTTGAACCGTCAGGGTATACTCGGGAAAACTCTGCAGAGAGATCAACACACCCTCATGAGGTCCAAGACCACTAGCCACCTCAGACCAGCCCACTGCACAGAATCAAAATATTTAATCATCTTAAATGCCAGGGCTGCCTGCCTTCTAGGCACAGAACCTCTAGGCAGATGTTCAAATGCAATGTGCAGACCATCACCACACTAACAACTGGCCGCAGCTGAGTTTGCATCATCCATGGCACTAAACTAACACACCCTAGCCTCCGACACCCTCTGGATCCTCCTGACCCCTGACCTCTCGGTCTAGCCCAGTAGTGAGCACACTGATGTCTCCTGTGGTAGGGTTGATGGTGAACATCATCTTGTCAGGCAACGGGGGCTCTTGGTCGAGGATGGTATAAACGATGGCAGCATTGTAGGTGTTCACATCATCGTCTGCGTCTGTGGCTGTGACCTGCATCACAGAGGTTCCTGGAAGCATTCAAGGACAGAAAATTTATTCAACCTGCACTTTGGGATCTGGTCAATAGTGTTCAGCCCAACTCTGTCTTGAGTGATACAGAAGGGGACTGGTACCTTATCACATATCACAGTGTCCCCCATTCTCCAATTTCTAAAATTCTTACCCAAGTGCTAGAGTAAGAAGAAAACATTACACCAAATGAGCCATGTGCAGAAGACTCAGCCTTTCCAGCACATGTGGGGTGGGGATGAAGTGAGCAAGAGTCTGGGGAATAAATAACCTCAAACTGCTAAAATCTTCCTGTCTTTTATATGAGTAATGTGTAAAACTTATTCAATTCCAGAATCAACTGGCTTCTCAGTCACAGCTTCATAAAAAAGAATGGTCATTTGAGATCATAGCCTTTGAGGTAAGGAAAACATCCATAACACATGTGACTGAGAAAGGACTAGTATGCAGAACATCTGATTAATTCTTTTTTTTTTTTTTGGAGACAGAGCCTCAAGCTGTCCCCCTGGGTAGAGTGCCGTGGCATTACAGCTCACAGCAACCTCCAACTCCTGGGCTCAAGCGAGTCTCCT